TAAAACTCTAAAAATGTTGACAACTGTATTATAAAAAACACAAGTAATAAACATATACACTTTATTGAGAATTTCTTACAACTAGTTATGTATGAGTTAACCAATTTGCAAATTGTTTGGGTATTTTGCCTAATGCATTCTCAAAAATTGCGGCGATCGCCCCACCTAGATTCTTTTTCATATCTTACATTTGTATATTTTGTGCTTACAACTGAAGATTTTGAGCTCACAATATTGATTTTGGAGTAGCCAACTCGATTTTAATACTAGCATCATATCATTTAACTTTAATTTAAGACTCATATTTGGTATAGAAATATAAAAATTATATTTGATTGACCCACAATTTAATTATATTTGATTGGAGCAGCCAACTCGAATTTTGATTGAACAATTGAACCTTGTCAAACAGACAATTTAATTTATTTGATTGATCTGCAATGACCGACATTCCTCTCAGTGGAGCTTAATGGAATTTCACTCAATCAAGCTAATATAATGTTGGAATATCACTTATGAGTTGTCCCACATCGATTCTATAAGATAAATGAGTCTAATTTATAAGTCTAGTGGTATACTCTTCTCATAACCAATTGGTTTGGAGATAGTACCTCACTAAGGTGCATTGCGCTTCACCTAATGGGACCGCACCATCTTTCCCGGTTCTAATATATAAACGAAATAAAAACAGGCATTTTGTATGAATAAAACTAAAATAAGGGTTAGACAAAAGAATTAAAAAATAAATAAATAATAAGTACAAATAATTTTGGTACAAATTAAGTGATCCTGATCTTTGAAACAAAAATTCTATGGCGCTCATATGGGCACCATATGGTGCCATAATCTTCACGATCTAACGCCTAATATCCATTCATCTTTGAAATACGTGAGCCAAATTATATATACAAATGAGAATAAAGATAAGATGAGAACAATAACATAATAATTATAAGATGAGTGGCATATCAAGAAAAGGTTGGTACTTGTCTTTGATGGGGCCAAAATCTAATTTAATTTATTTACCATATGCCAAAAACTCTTACGTGCGTTAATCACTTGGCTAATAAAAAGTGAAATAAAATGGATCTTGCACTTGCAAACAATTAATAAATATGGTGCATATCTAACTTTTTTCTGTTCATCAAAGAATTTGCTGACCAAATAATTGCACAAATTAACACATTTATTTATATACAACACTTTCCTTCTTTTTCGGCATCATTTGCTCCCTGTCGCCTCACAGTGCATGAAAAACTACTCTTCTTTATACCACGAAAATCATATCCTCCTTCCCACCGTGCACAGCCGATGAATGTATTTCGCAAGCATTATAAGCTTGCTTATAATTTTTTTAATTACCTTATAAGTTTTATTTATTTAAAACAAATATAAGATCTTGTATATTTCCAGCCGTTTACTCTACTCTAGAGTAGAGCAAGCTAAATATCTAGTTTTATCTCCAGTAGTTGGCGCTACATTTTATTCTACATTAAATATAGTATTTTTTATTTATTTTTATTTTAAATAAATTGCAATACATGTATATTTAATTAATCTTATATTCAGTTTGATACTATTTTAATAATAACAAAATTTCAAAATAAAATTATAAACATCAATTTTAATATTAAAAAATTTCAAATAAATTATAATACATCAATAAATAAATAAAAACCACATGATTATTTAACATAATAAATACATTTACTGATACACATTATAAAAAAAAATATTTTATTGTGTTAAATTTTCATTCATATGGTATATTTTAATATAAAAAATTTACAAAAACGAAATTGTAATACATCATTAAAGCAGTGGGGAATTTTCCGCAATGGGCGAAAGCCTGTAGTTAGCTTTAAACCAACTACATTTACTAATACACATTGTATAAAATTTACCAATAATATTACATTAAAACATATTACTCAACAAAAAAAGTATGGAGAGTGAACTCCCGTGTTGCGCCTGATAGCATATATGTAGGGTCCGTTTGGTTGGTCGGATTGGGCTTAATATCCTACCTATTGTTATTTTTTCATGTCCATAAATATGTTTGGTTCGGGCAGTGTAAGCCCGTTAAAACGGAATGGCCCGGTTAATTATTAGCAACTTTCAGTATTAAGTATCCCACTCATGATGCCAATCCAATTCTTTTTTTCATTTAAATTTACAAAATAACCCTCATGTCTTCTCCATTTTTTCGTGAATGTGAATTTGTGTCTGCAGACTTTGCACCCAAACAAGATAACCCTACCCACTTCCCTTCTTCTTCTTCTTCTTCTTCTTCTTTTTTTTAAAAAAAAAAATCTCGTAATTCAACATCACCTTTGGATCCGGTGGAAATTAACCTTTTATTTTCAATTAAGCTTTCTATATAGTGGATGAACTTAATTTCGAATAGGCCAATATTTTAGGCCTGTCGATCTCGAATGCGGCGGCGGACGGATGGCGGGAGAATTCGCCGGCGGCCGTGAGCGAATTATTGGGGCTGAAGTTGGGTGGCTCTGCACCATAAATTTGGTGAAGGGTGGGGCGGGAGATCTGGCTGCGGTTGGTGGCTTTGCACAGTGAAAAATGACGTTGGCGGAGGTCAATTGCGCAGGTAGAAGATGGCGGCAGAGTGACGGTAGAGGAAGGCGATGAACCGTGTTGCTGTAGATGGCAATTTCTAAAAATTGAATTTTGAATGGAGGGTAAAAACGTAATTTCAACTTAAAAGATAGTATCAAACATAAACCAAATCATAAAACAAACAAGTTAATGGATTAATTGAATTTGTAGAAAGCCGTTGATTTTATCAAAACGATTGTATCATGCTCAATCACTCTTGAGCAACCAAACGGACCCGTAGAGTACAGCTAATATCTAGCGATGCACCGGAGAGAACAAATTCTCCAGTCTAGCGCAAATCTCATATTCTAGCGCTGCATTGGAGCAGCTCAAAAGTGTTTCAGCTAAAAATGCTAGATAGAATATAGGTAGTGATATATACTAAATTAATTTTCAAAAAGTATAACTCCACAGTTTTATTTGAGTTCTGCTTTTTAAGTTGTACTTTTTTATAATGTATAAGCTTCGTGTTATGGTAATTGAGCTATGCTAATTAAGTTGTGGGGCATATTTTCTTTTAAACTATTTCATTCCATTCGACATTCTATTGTGCTAGAATTAGGAGTCTTTTTATGTATATACATTGTTTCATCAAAATTCATGAAATTTTCTAAAAATTACAAATTAGTCCCTGGAACTAAATTGAAAATATATTTAACATTCATGAATTTACACTTGAGTCCCTTTACTTTATCATATTTTTTTTTAGAAAAAATCTCCAAAAATCTTATCTGTCAGGTCCCGCCGTTTCTGGCTGGAGACTCCTCTTCCAAAGTTGCCACCCCTTCCACCACAGTCGGTGGGGTCTCGGGCCGCTGGTTCTCACAGTTTTTTGGTTCGCCATTAATGGCGAAGCTCGAAGCTCCATTTTTACCATCGATTTCAGCTTTGGTCGGAGACGGAGCTTCACCGTGCATATGGTGTAGTTGAGGGACTCGACGAGGACGTCATTGGCGGTGAGGATGGCGCCGGTGTTGCCGCCTAGACAATGGAGAAGAAGGCGTCGGGATGATCGGAGAGGAAGGTGGAGGATGCTCGCCGGCGGTGGGAACTGAACGGTGGTTGTAGTGGCTCTTGGTCGGCCGCCGACGGGAAGTTGGGCTGGGCTGTGTGTGTGTCTGCAACTGTGTGTGCATGTGTTGTGTGTGTGTGTGTGCGTGCGCATGTGTTTGTCTGTGTATGTGTAGTGATGTGGAGTGTATATGTGTGTGTGTGTGTGTGTGAGAGAGAGAGAGAGAGAGAGTGCGGGAATGAGAGACATATGTGATGTGTACTGTTTGGGTGTGAAAAATTACCACATTATCTTTAGTGAAGGTATAATTTGAACTTTTTTACCCATTAGATCATCCGATCTAGTGGCTATGATGTATTCTTATTTCTTTCACTGAGCACATTTTTCACTTGATCTCAACCATATATATATTAATTTAAAACGTGTTGACCTAGGTGGCAAACTCGCACGCTTCGAATGTACGACATGACATAATTATATGCTTCGTAATTTGATTTTTATAAACATTATGGCTTTCGTATCAGGTTTTGTATTTGACACAAAAATTTTATTTACAATTGTGGTAAGTATACGTTTATTTTTGTCTATTTTTCTATTTTCCAAATCTATATATATATATATAATTGCTAGCAGAGCAATTAATAAAACCTCATTTAGTTTCCCTCCAAAGGAGGTTACAAAAACATGTTTACTTTATTATTTATTTCTTTTAAATAAAACATTAAACAACTCATTAATCAATAAATAATTGATCTATATATATAATTGCTAAAAAATTTAATAAAACCATTTAATTTTTCACCTTTTTCTGTTACAATCCAATATTTCATTTAAACGATAACTGAAATTTAATCAATGACTTTTCTAATAATTGTTAACTAAATTGTAATCATATTTTTAATTATTCTATTATATAATAGTAATTACTAAAACTAACCAATTATAATTCGCACTAAATGATATATGAAAGTTT